ATTAAAACAAAATATCTGACACTAGTTAGTCTTAAAAGCTCTCTGTTCAAGAAGCGTTAAAAAAGTGGTTAGTGAAGTGATAGGGACCCAGGAGACCACTATGAGCCAATTACCAAAATCAACCTGGCCTACCTTTAAAGCAGTTGGTTTAGAAAATGTATTTTATTAATTGGTAAAGTTTTATATAGCATAAAAGCACTATACCATTAAACAATATTTGTGTAAAAGCAAAATAATGATTTTGAGGATTGGCTATGAGGTTATATTCTCTTATCATAGCACTGCTGAGTACTCTCGTAAGCTTACAGTGGAGAGATGTGTCCCGTGAAGTCATTCTGTGTGAAACCATGAAACAAAACCCTGCTATATTTACTCAATAGTTCTTTTGATGAGCGAGATCTTACAATTGTTTTCAAGCACAGTTTTACTCCTGCAGAATACTTATTTCAGATGCTTAATGTGCAGATAAGTTTAAAAATTGTATGCTTCTTATAAACTTATATACAAATACAAATATATTGTACTCAGCAAATATTCTTACTGCCTGTTGCTATCCTAGCATTGTCAGTAAATTCTAACAGTGACACAAGCTTCACAGAACTCTGCTTTTCTGACCTATCAAAGAGATGCTTGATAAAAGTAGGACATTGTCTTGGCCAATATTACGTCCATGATGTGCCCCTATAAGCTGTTGTATGTAAAATAGGTTGCTACTTATTTATTAAATATAACTTACCATCCTTGTGTTTTGCAAACATCAGCCTATTTCTCCTTTAGTAGATTCACAGCAACTTTCCTAAATCTGTCTGCAGAAGAATGCTAACTTTTGAAGCTTAAAGTTAAATGATTTGGCAACTAGCAAAAGCCATCAAAAGAAAAGGGCACAAAACAGATGGTACAATGCAGAGCCTTGTCTGCAAGTAAATTTTGGAAAAGCAGGTTTGGACTTAAGCATATTCCATTTTTGTAGAAGCAGCATTTTGGAAACTTGTTCATCCATAATTCCATGGTTATTAATTTCCTTGCAACTGTAGGCCTCTTTTTGGTTATATGTAATGTAAAATTAGCAGACATGATCAAATGGCACAACAGGAAATAATGTGAGGACTGTCCCCTAAGAAAAAAGTGAATAAAATATTTCCCTTGTTTCTGTACTTTCAGTAATTTTTTAAAGAATGGGTTCTGATTTAATGCCAGTGTATTCAGAATGAAAATGTGTCTCTTCCAGTATTTGAACTTGATTTTGGTAATAGCTTTAGGAATTTAAACGTAATAGTTCGGAGCTGATGTAAATGGAAGCAGTATTGGCCTATTGCTAAACACATTAAACAGAGTGGGCTAAACAGTATTTAATAGTATTCATCCAACCACTGCTCAATTCTTTCATAAGTTTGTTTTCATAATATTCACTGCAGAGGAATTGTTCTTTAATAGTACAAATGACACTAATGGATTTAAAATACTCCTGCTACACCACATTGTGTTTTCCTTTTGAATAATTGGCTCAGGGTACCGGTTAGTTCTAACACCATTTTACCATTCTCCAAACAAGCTGCTACAAATCACATGCACACACTTTACACTAGTGTTTGTACTTCCCAAACTTGAAAGCAGTGTTAAAATGATCACTCTGGAAGCTTGCTTACTCACAGTGGACTTCGACAATGCTGGGGGCACTTCAGTGCTGCTGCTTTGCTGAGGGAACTAGCTTTATCAACCAAAACAGTTGGACCGTCTGCTTTGACCCACCAAATCTCTCTACAGATGGGGAAAGGCTCCTAGAGCAGATGGGGGAGGTCTAAAGAAGAATGGGGAGCTATGGCCTTCTCCTGGCAACAGTTCCAAGGGTAAAAAGGAAGCATTGAATTCCGTCACATATTGGGCAGAGCAGTACATGTTTTTTCCTCTTTAAGTTATAGATTAAAATTCAGATTGGCATACAATGTCATATATAGTGAGCATGCAGCCTGTATAGTTCATTTAATTTTTCTACTTGACATATAATCTCTGACTATATTTTAAGCAGAATTTTAACTCTAGTAACGGGCTGAGCTGATACTAATTGTAGAACTTTGGTTCAAGCAAGAATTATCAGGACTCTTCGTATCCAAAGAGAATGAAATATTCCTTAGCAATTCCTTAGCTATCTACAGAAAAACACTTGTGATATCTTGACTCAATATTTTGATATAAAATGCTGCTGCTTTAGAGGTGCAGTGGTTTTGAACTCTTAGGAATGAACATTAAAGAAGACAAGATATTTGCTATTTCAGCCCTTTTAGCTACCGGATTGCTATCTATAATAGTTGTGTATAAAAACGCTTCATAATACTGTAGAAATTATATTCAAAACATTTCAGGCTTCATGTCAGCTGTATTTCGGCAAGTCTGTAAAAGAACTTACACATTTCAGTCAATTTAGCTTTTGTTTATTCTAAACTTCTATCTGCAAATAGAATTGCCTTCCAGATTTCTGCTTGTAAATAGGGAACTAGTATATGTATTATTTTGTACATATTCTGCATCTTAAGATTCACAGAACTAATACATACTGTCCAAATGGCAGCATCAAATGTGCAAATCTCATAGTTTACTGTTACAGGTGAAACTCGAAAAATTAGAATATCGTGCAAATGTTCATTTATGTCAGTATGGCA